CGTCACCGGCCAAAGTAAAGAGCACGTGCTGTCGCTTTTCCAGGGAGCATTCTATTCTCTGTACTTAACGTGCGGTATATGGAGCAACTTGATCTCGTCACTGGTGTTGATTAAGCCGAATGATCCAAACGATGGGCTGAATTCGACAAGTGGTCTGGACGCCCACCACAACTTAACCGACTTGTGCGGGCCTGCGTTTTGCCCGTGGGAAGATACATCGGGCACTTACATAACTCGACCTGAACAATACATTGTACATATACTACTCGGTGCCTATATTGGAATGACAGGATTAGCTTTCTTATGCGCCCTGATTTTCCTGGAGAATGTAAAACCCAGCACCAATGACGCTGTGCAAAGTGCGCTGCGTTTTGGTGGGAAGGTGCTCTCTTTGTTGTGGAGGAAGAAAGTGTTTGTGTTGCTCCCTGCCATATCTATATATGGCGTGAGCCAGTACTTCATGAACACAGAGTTTTCGAAGGTAGGTTTAAGGTCGGTTGAGGCTGCCCAGGGGCGGTTCCAGGATTATTTGAAGGAAGGGGGTTGGTTAACAGACGTGAAGCCGACCCTCCCTCCTTTGACATGTCGACTAGCTCCAAATGCATCTTTAAAATGCCTTTAGATAATATACTAATATTTGATTTAAAGAGAAACTGCTCGTTACTTGTGAATACTGCAGTGCACATGACGCGAACTACAAGGGACCCCGAACCTAGTGTTGCCCTGTTGTAAAGAAATATATTACATTACATTTAATAAAGAAAGGGATAATATTAAGTTTTACATAATTAACTGAATTATACGTTTGGAATTCCAGGCTTTTGTCAGTTGTAACCTTGGCATCGAATACAACGGGTGGGCGATGATCTGTTTTGCCGCTGGGGACATACTGGGGTCCCTGGTGAACGGGCGACTGACCAAGTACGTCGGGATGACTGCCCTGTTGGTCACAGCAACCTGTGGGGAACTAGGGTGCTTGTTCAGTATGTTGTTCTTCGAGGCGTCAAGGGACACAGTGGAGTATTTTTTCTTGGTTCCTTTTGCTTTCGGTTTGACGGATTCCGTATGGATGGTGCAGATATCAGGTATGTGTTGGTTTCACACATGCACACACACACACACACACACACACGTGCGCCCGCGCACACAAACGTTTTTATCGATCATCCGGTGGAAAAAAACCTATAACTTGATTGGTTTAAATACTACATTGCTTGCCTGAAATTATTGGTCCAGTTAGAGTATACAAAGGTGTTCGTCCGTAAAAATCATTTGTTACATAGCCGAATGGTTCTCTCGTTTTGGCACCAGCCCAATGATATTAGGTACTTTGGTTTGATGTGAAACGAGTCTAACTTCTGGATAATAATAATAATAATAATAATAATAATAATAATAATAATAATAATAATTATTATTATTATTATTACATGATCATAAAATACGTATTTCAGGAGCAAGCACGGGCAACTAGCTTAATCGTGGATTATTTTATTTTCTAATATGATTATATTTATGTCATTATTATTATTTGGAATTATTATAATGGTTATTACAATGATAAAAATATTTTTTCTTTTACAGCCTTTATTGGACATGAGTTCCCGGATGAAACATGGCCGATGTTCATCATATTCCGGACCACCATCTACGGCATCTGCGCTATACTTCTCGGCGTGACAAACTTCGTGTGCATCAAGGAAATGTGCTTCGCCAATATCGCACTGTTTAGTTTCGGCTTGTTGTCATTTATTTCTTATAAATGTATTCGGGATCGTCAGGAAAAGTGACGAACATTTTCTTTACATGGGTTTTGGTATTTTGCGCGAAAACAGTATGCACATGATGGTTTTCATGTTAGCATTAAGCAAATGTTACTTTTCTAGCAAAGACATAATAGAAATTAGATCTTACGAGATATATATCTCGTATACTGGACTTCCACGAACGGTAGAGGGAATGAGCTCGTCGTTTCTTCCGTAGATTTCACCAGGAAATTGCCACTTTGTTTTGAAGTTAATGGTTAAAGGGATAATAACTCTTCGGTAGTTGGGTCTCGGAGCACATTCATTGCACAATGGCTCAAGGTCATACATTGCTATGGTGAAGAATCGTCGCAATGGCGAGGAATCCATTAACAATTCCTAGACCCAGATGATGATCCGGATCGCTGATGACCACCCTAATCTAATCACTTTTAATCACTTCGAACAATAGGATAATTGCACTTGTATTTCGCATACAAAGCTTGCCTCTATTTCCATGCGCGTCGGTGCGTTCATCCTATATATTGTTCGAAGTGCCAGCCGTGGTAAAAGTTAGTTACAACTACTCATCGTCCACTGTATGCGACATACCAGAACAAATTATGGCTGTGTTCACATGAAAAATCTATTTTCTAAAAATCTAAAAATCTATTTGCGATATCTTGTGATCACGGTCTGTGCCCTGAATACCCCACGGCGTAATTACGGGCATCGCGCGCCAGTTACTTCCAAAGCTGTAATTAATTCTCGGCGCTGTCAGTAATTACGCTCCAGGTGTGGTGGTTATATTCATAACGATTTAAAACGTTTGCCAGGTGTGTTGTTACAGCGGAGATGGGATATAATGTTGCAGCAGGGCTTACTGTTAATTTGGCTTCCCTACAAGGTCATGCAGCGTCCTACTGTTGGGTCAAGCTTCAAATTTAATATGTAACTTATTGTATTGGCTTTTGGGAACAACCGCCAAAAATCCATTCGAGAATTGCTTATGCAGTAACAGGTGTTTACCTCAACCCTATGTGTCCTTTAACCCTAGAATGTGTCGGTAAATAGATATAAATCTGCAATATAAAATGAACAAATACGCCTACAGTGATGCCTTAAGGTGAAGCAACACCTGGATTTGTTAAATCATCCATCAGGTTTGTCGTTGTTTTTATTTTTGTTATTTTTAGTCAGGTATTACAAATTGTAAGAGTTTTAGTTTTATAGCATCTGTATCCAAAAAGAGTTCATTTGCAGTGGGGGTGGGGAGAGGAAGTGTTTTGTTTTCTTTTTTGTTTCGTTTGGTATGTCTTGTGACTAAATCTTTAGTGTCTGCAATGATACATCTGTGCAGTTGTAGCATTGCACAAAAAAGTTGACATTTGAAACGAAATTCATAAAATTATTAGATGTTACAATCATTTTGAACAACAGGAAACAATAAATATTTTAATAAAGATAGTTGTATTATTAATTATAAATAGGGGTAGATGCAGAATTTTTTGAGGGGTCCGGCTTTTTTAGTCCTCAAATTGCGAGGCCGACCCTCACCCCCTTGGCGTCAGGTTTGGAGGACAAAAGGCGCCATTTGGTACGTTTTAGAACTATGTTTTAGCTAGACATTTTTGGTGCATTTTTTAAACAGAAATCGAAAGGGTGTCTGGACCCTGGCACCCCCTTAAATCCGCCACTGATAAAACTACATGTACTACGATGACTACTTAGTTAAGTTGAAAGTGACTGTTGAACTGCTTGGAGGTTAGCTGTGTTCCTACGCCCTCACTCTTAAAAGTGAGGACATGATAAGTTACCGTTCTAATTAATTTTGATCTAAACGATGCAAGCCTCTTTAAATATCCATGAAGAACCAAAGGGTTGCTTAACTTTTGGGCGGCCGTGTACAGAACCCACTTCCACGTGTGCTTTATTTTATAATGTTACAGCCACTTACACTTTAACAACCGCTGTATGAATACAAAACGATAATTTTATTGTTTAACCACCGAGCAGTTGAACTTCTTCAACATGTTCTACTACGTCGTTATTTCCTTTATTACTTATTTTGCAACTACTACACAATACTTGTATTGCTCTTATCGAGGGATCCAAGTGGATATGCTTTATCCCCTTGCCTGTATCATGTTTTTACCTGGTCAAAGGTGTAATAAAATGACAAACAAGATGTCAGACCTCAAGTTTAAATCTGTTAAAGGGTAAAAGAGATATTTTCTGACAGTCTTCCAAATTATCTTTGTTAATCCATCTTCCATTTTTGACCGTCTTCCGACAGAAAACCTTTGATACCCGTCAATGTAAACTTAAAAATCTGACCGTCTTCGGAAGACCCAGAAGACGGCCTAAATCCGCCCCTAAAACACTTTCGAGGATTAATCAATTTTACGCGTTTATCGGGAAATTACTCGGTCAGGTTTTGTGTTTGAGTGGAGGGGGGGGTCCAGGGGGTCCCGTTTCACTAATAAAATGCTCTCCTTTCTTGAAAGATGAATACTAAAGAAAAAGATTTGGAAAATGTTTGTACGATTATCAGAATACACGAGGATTTCAGGATGAAGAGGAGAATTCGCAGTGACATTCGAACAATCTCTTTATAATCCTTATTGTAGAACCCCCTAACACACACACACACACACACACACATGCACGCTCGCACGCACGCACGCACACACACATAGCATTCTACGTAATTTTTAAATGCAAAGAAGCGTCTGACTGCATGCCGTTTATGGGTAGATGTTTTCCTTAGAGACCGGCTGTATATTTTAATTGTAAACATGTACCCGCGTACACCTGACATTAATTTATGTTTTTCTACCAGTAAGTTATCGAAATGTTCTGTTTTACAAATAGGTTGAAGTTACTGTTTATCCTCCATATCTCACTCCATTGTATAGGCAAACTGAAAATTATCATTTATTCTCCTGAATTCCTATTTAAGACTTTTGATAATGAAACAAAACAACAGGAAGCAAGATGGAAATGACGTTCTGCGCTCTTAAAACCGCGTCGTACCTGCAAGCATCCAACTGTACATTATAAAATGTACGATAAAGCTGGTGCTTTATCCTCGTCAACCAAGCTGCATCGCCGGGTTCTTATTTTAATGCATTTAAACGCATGTGTCAGTAGAGGACTGTAGATACACATTCGGAATGATGAGGCCGTTATTGCAATCACCCCTACCCCTCAAAAATCCCATCGCATGCTTTAGAGTATTACTACAGCACTTACCTGGATGACGTTATGCCAGCCTTGGGGGGAAAAGTTTGGAAAAATTGATACAGTGCTTGTAACCTTATCTAGAGAGGAGCTAGGTCACACGCTCCTTTTCCTTTCTAGGTCATTACATATGCAGGGTCATATACACGGCTCTTTATGATGACAAATTTGATAAAATGATCTTGATAAACATTAAACAAATCGTTTTTCATGTACTAACAGGCATGCAATGAGCGATAGAACTTTTTATAGAAAATTAATAAAAAGGGGGTCTAAGTACTAAAACGAAAGTGTTTTATTGGGAGGCACTGAAATACTGGTAAAACGGATTTTACGGGTGTTCAGTACGAATACTATGGCTCTGGGTACATACACATAAAATCCTGAGAGTTCAATTGATGCATGCGTACTTTGACCTTTTTTGGTGGTGTTGTTTTAAATTTATATGCATTTTATTTTACCTGTGGAAATAACTGCGGAACATCAGATTCTAGAGATTTCAGTGGGCGTATGCTCTGAATTTGGGATTTTTGGATTTACTGTATCACGAGTCATGTAACATATTGCATTTTTGAAAAAAAAAAAAGGTTTACTAATGTGAAGCGATGCTTTGTAAAAAAAATGGAATAAGAGGTAGGGTAACCTTTTTGACAAAGACTGCATGTGTTTATAGGTCTCCGAAGTGGTCATAAATGAGCTGATACACATTGCGGTTTGAGATATTCACTTCGGGGACACCGTAACACATTTAAATCTACAGCACCATAAAGTGAAATAAAGTCAATAGCATCTTAAGTGCTGTTATCAACCATACTCAATGGGCCAAGACGGTCTTTTATGGTTTTACAATAGAAACATTCCACTCCCAACAATTACTTTATGAGTTACCAGAATATGAAAATGACCTTAGGTTCATGTGTAAATAGGAAAGGACATTTAAGGGCCATAAAAATATACTATACGTACATTTTGCAATTGAAATAAATATATATGACATAAATTTGCGCAAAATTTCATAATACCCTGGAAATAGAGGTCCTGGATGATCCCATGGATCGTAACTTGATGTAAAAATATTGTACGACACGTCGTAAAATATAGAAGTTGCTTTGCTATACCATCTGTATATTCATATTCATACTCATCTCTGGTTTGTTAGCAGAAAATAATACATATTTGGCTTTGGGTTTAACTGGGGCCGCTTAACTTGGATAACGGACGCCAAAAATGTGCTTCATTGTTCTAAGTACCTTTTCCAAACGCCCGGCCGCAATAAATTCAGTTGATAAGTTAAGGTAATTCAAATAAAACAAATATGGGAGTTGCCAAAAACAAATATGCTTTATGAAGAGTCTATGAAGCTTGTTTCGTATTATTTCATCAGTTTCCACGCCAGGCAGGTCCGCATGTGCCCTTCGTATATGTTTGCTACTAATTGACCGGTAACGTTGTGGTTGACCGCTGTGGAAGACCATTGCCACAAAACAAACATTTTTCCCCAACCACAGGATGGTGGTTAGATTTAAAACTTCCTGCGAGTACCACGTCGACTTCGCTGATGCCAGTTTGTGATTAGTCTGGACGAATAAGTATCAGGGGAATAGGGAACAATAGGTATAATGCATTCATGTACTTCAGAGAGTGAATTGGCAATGGAATGGAATGTACCCCGTAGCTGCACTTATTGGATTCTAGTGCTAGGAGAAATAGGTTCCAACTGTACCAACTGTATAACGTGCCGGTAATACCCCTTCTGTTATCGCTGTGACCAGTTTGGGGTGTCAGTACGTAATTAATTTTTAAAAGACGACAAGCGTCCCGCTCGATCTCACATAATTTGTGAGAATTTTCAAAGCTCAGCACGAGAACGCGTACTTTGGGCAATTTTTTTAAACCGTTTTCTTTTCAGCTCCAACAAAGAACAATACAAATTTAAGCATGGAAGAAAAGAATGAAGGAGGAAAAGACTGTTGTGACAGTGACGCCAAGGACTTCGATGATACCCTTATACTGATTGGAGAATTTGGGAAGTACCAAAAACTGATTTATGTGTTACTTTTGACAGTAAGTGTGTTGGCAAGTATGGTGAACGCAGCCGTTGTGTTCATAGAAGACACGCCCAGCTTCAGGTAATAATAATAATAATAATAATAATAAGTAAACGACGCCTTCTTTACCATAATACATTAGACACAAGGCTTAAAATGTGCTTAATTTTGTCTCTTTGGAGACCTTTTATTTATTGGTTGTGGGAATGTTCGAGGGAGAGGAGAGCTGATAATTGGTGCACTGGATCCGCTAATGGAAACCGTGTTCCGAAAACTGAGCTACTTAGTGTTAGTTATTCTGGTGTGTATAATAAGTAGGTCAGGTCTTTTAAGCTGTGACACATCCCACTATTACGAATATAACTAACGGTGCAAGTGTCGGTGACCATGTGAAATGGCAAATTAATCAAAAACAACACTGTGGGTATTCTGATGAAAGTTGACAAGGGAGGTACAACCTGTCTCATATCTGGAACAGTGTTATACCGAACAATTCTTACTATATGTTCACCATACACGGCCACTTATTTTCAGTTCACTGATGGATTTCCAAGGGCTAGGACGAAAGCTCTCAGGTACGCTTTCAGCTAAATGTATAGAAATTGAACAGTTTTAAAATGTCATCATTATAAGTAACACTGTGGGTATTTTATTAATTATTATTTCAAGGTGTAAGTTACCTGGTCTTCCAAATGACACCTTCGAAATCCAGGGAAAATGGCACCAAGCTATGGTTGACGTTTCGTTTATGAATGCCACTGATGAAGAATGCACCGTTTTTCAAAATATCAGCCATCAGAGGAATGTCAGTCAAAACGTCACAGAACCGGAGAAATGTGATGCATGGGTGTTTGACAACACCGATGTGGCATATTCCTATCCGATGCAGGTACATATATTTTAATCAGTTGTCAATTATTTACATTTATATGTTTTCGTTATTCCTTTGCAAGGAGAATTGAATCCTTTAATCGCTATGTTTAATAAACAGTCCCATTAAGAGCCAATTATTGAAGATGGTACAGGATTTTTCAATTTTTCAATTTTCAATTTTTTGGACATTAACTGAAGGGTATTCACGTCGAAAATACGCAGTAGAATTTTTGTATTGGAAGGCTACAAATGAAATAAGATATGTGTTTTTTCGTGTTTCTATTTTTTAATTAGCTTAATCTCGTTTGTGACGACTCGACAAAGCTGACGAATGCCTACATTTTCAACGTACTAGGATACTTGATTGGAGGACCGTTATTTGGGGTGCTGTCCGATGTGTGAGTATTAATAATTTACTCTGGTAGATTTCAAGTGGCGTTGATTGCCCATGTATTAGAACGTTGTCTGCACAGTACTACAGATTTGACGTTTAATAAGGAATTTTTTCCAAATTGCCTTTTTTATCATGTTTTCCTATTTTCTTGACAGATAAATGAAATGAGTATTACTAATTCACTCGAGTGGAATACGAACGGCGTTGAATGAATATGTGTGAATATGTAGTTGCCTGTACTATAGTATTTTGCATATTGAATACAAAAGCAAATAATTATGCGATGTTCTTGGGCTGAAGTATCAACGCACACAGAGAAGGAAAGTTATCATATCGTTCACGTAAAATTGAGAGGGAAATGATAATGCAAATTTTATGACTGTCTGATGGATATGTAACGCCAATGCCTTAACTGTGTTAACGTAAAATGCCTTAACTGTGTTAAAGTATTTAATACACATTAATTTGTATAATTTAATGAACACTTCTTTTTACATGTTTAAACTACATGTAGGTTTATTTGCGCCATCGGTTCGTTTTATTAAAATTCATCAGTTTTATAAACAGTGAATGAAATAAGTCGGTATTTTAAAGAACGTATTTTGATGCTTGATGACATTTGGCAGCGTCCTTTATGGCCATTTTTCTCTTTTATGGAAGTCACCGTGAAATATAATTTTTTGAGTTGACTCATGTTCTTAATTTGAATAAATGCTACAACTTGTTAATATCTTCTACGTTTTCTTTGGTATTTTGACTTTTCTTAACCACAGTCTTGTTAGAAACAGTATATGGAATAAAAGAAAAGTTGCTGTCATATGATCATTTGTTAAGAAAAGCACAAGAGGCTAACGGTTGGACAGCCTTTTTGACGAAGAATGAATTATTAACAAAGTACATGAACTATTAACAATGTCCATAAAATTCTGAAAAATACAAAATCAATATTTCAGTGTTGGACGAAAGATGTCGCTGCTTCTTGGGTTGAGTATCAGTGGGCTGGCGGGAATAGCGTGGGCCGTTTCACCAACCTACGAGTGGAGTGTTGGAATGCGGTTTATGTTGGGCTTTGGCATGAGCAACTTGTATAATTTGGCCAGCACATTTGGTATGTTATCAATGGCCATAGGCTGCACAAATGCTTAGGGGATCCTGCTGAAAGCCTCCCTTCTGGTACATTTAGAACACTTTGATCCGCGGACCAACATAATAATGATCAAATATTAATTAATTGATAATGTGTATAAGGAAAGTATAGCGTTATCCCTTACCTACAAGTATAGCATGGGTTTTCGATCCATAAGTAAAGATTCTACAGGCACGTCACTGGCTCGCCGATGTGACCTCAGCAGTTTATGGTCGTAATTAGGAGGCAATCCCCCTGTCAGTAGTGTCATCAAAACCGTTTGAGAAAAGTGTGAACGTCACGCCTCATTTATGTAGTAAGAAACATACTATTACTAAGCTTCTTTGGAAACTTATAATTTTGATTTCGTCATTCAGGTCAGTTTCATTTTTGTACAACATTCAGTAATTTTCTCGCCCGTTTCAGCTTTGGAGATGGTGGGTCCCAGCAAACGAATGGCGGCGGGCACTGGGTTGGCGATCATTTATGCGGGGGGAGGGGCAATCACTACAGGAATAGCCTACTTCCTGAGAGACTGGCGCTATTTACAGATAGCAGTGGCAACGCCATTTTTGTTATTGACTTGTGTAATGTTGTGGTAGGTAGTACAATACAGCATCTACCAAATGTTTCATATCTTCGATTATTATATGCATGTATTATTTAAGAAAAAACACAGAGGGAAAAGGAAAGGTATTCATATTTAATGGAATATTTTACCCCAAAAAGTCAAAAAGCTAATTACACGAAGAAGAAAATAGATTGCACGTTTCAAAGTTTCTTAAAACAAGAACCGAACACTTTGTGCGTTTTGCTTGGACACGAATATAGTCCCTTGTATTGTGACTTGTAAGACATCGGTTCATGTAAAACATTTGAAAAATAATTTCTATTCCAAATTTACATGTAGATCAACTACTTCCGGAATCAAGGTAAACTGGTCAATCTTTTCCTGTCGTTCTTAGGTTTCTGCACGAGTCTCCTAGGTGGTTGCTTACTAAAGGACGCCATTCAGAAGCTGAGCTAATCTTAAGACGTACAGCGAGAATAAACAAGACTACCCTTCCCCAGGGTCTGGTAGAAAAAGTTGAAATCAACGAGCCTCCAACTTCAAGTGCTCGGGCTTTGCTGCGTGCGCCAAGACTGATGGTTAAAATGCTGCTTTTATTCATCAACTGGTACATGTCATTCTGATTGGCAAATTTACCTGGTTATAAATTACATTATAAATTGAACACAATTTCTTCTAGTAAGGAATAATAGGTCTAATTGCCTTGCTTCGCGTTTTTTTAAAGTAGACATTTGTATCCTTTCCTCTCCAAAAAATCAGTACGTGTCAGTCATAAGGTACCATTGTTTAACTTGCAGGCTTGTCTTGGATATGACGTATTATGGAATAAACCTTCATGCTGGAAACATGGCCGGAAATCTTTACCTCAACTTCTTTCTCCTCTCAATAGTGGAATTACCTGCGTATGCATTGTGTTTCACTATCGACAGATTTGGAAGGAAGAAGATCTACATTTTGTGTATGGTAGTGGGCGGCCTGGCATGTCTCTCGTCTCTCCTTGTGCAGTTATACTCAAATAACGGTGATAATAATAATAATAATAATAATAATAATAATAATAATAATAATAATATAGGGAGAGGTTAACCGAACTAACTTAATGTACAATTAGACTTAATTCCAATTTTTTCATTATTATGTATTAATTTCATTTTTCTCATGCTTGTACTTCTATTGTACTTCTATTCACCATCTTCTTGTACTTCTATTCACCATCTTGGAAATATAAGCATAGTTAATTTAATTTGGAAACCCATTAAAGATATGCGAAGAAGATTTAAACATGAAATTATAAACATGACCACCAAGAACTCACAATTAGTGGTACATTTTTCTAAAATTTGATCTTGGGAATAATAAAACACAATGCCTTGGAAATACTGGAACAGGAAGATCTGAAATTTTGTAATATCACATTGCCTGTTTGGTGCTCTTAGTTTACCATTCTCACCACAGCGGTTGAGTTTAATCTCAAATTGTTAAATCTTCTTAAGGTTTGTATACTATACTACGGACCCTTGTGGTGCCAGAGGGTGAACTCTTACGTAATTCTAAAGATGGAAACTGTTAAAGTGGCTACAATGTTTGAGCAGAAAAAGAACGTTTAAAACTGTAGATTTTGAAGTGTTGAGTCTGTCTGTTGTATATTTTCTTTTAGATCTGGAATCTACTAACTACATCAAGATCACACTGTCCACGGTCGGAAAGTTTGGGGTGGCTGCAGGCTATAATATCATATATATCTGGGGCATTGAAATATTCCCCACCGTTACCCGAAACTTCAGTTTGGGTCTGGCTTCAGTTTGTGCCAGTCTTGGATCCATGCTCTCTCCGGTCATCGTGGTGAGTTATGGCCTGGAAATAGTATTAATCATGTGTTGTGTTATTATTTTCAAGTTCTTTGTCATTTATCATTTGTATTTTTCATTTATTTACTATTTAGATAATTATCAATTGTTCATTTTATCTATATTTGAGTTTATTTAATTCAGAGAGAAATTCAAGTGGAAGGTATTGGGGAGGATACCTTGCCGCTTGTGATATTTGGAGCCGCAGCCATATTTGCATCGGTGTCTACAATCCCTTTGCCAGAGACAGCAAACAGAGATCTCCCTGAAACTGTAGAAGACGCAAACAGTTTTAAATAGTAAGTTATTTTAGTGAAGGGTTCTATTAATTGGGCTCACTAATACAAATCGTTATTTCAAAATTGAACGTGTAATGACTTAACAATTGGGCGCTCAGCTCAGAGTATGTTTTCCTCCCTTCTGAATTTTCTTTCTCTCTGTCAGCTCTCTCTCTCCTATATTATTTACACATATCCCCCCTCCCAATCTCTCCCGAGAGAGAGAGAGAGAGAGAGAGAGAGAGAGAGAGAGAGATTAATTAAATTCCTGGAATCTGGAACAAATTATGCATTTTCCTAAATTTGTCATTTCTATTTTACAGCCGGAGGCCACGTAGTTCTAGCAATCAAAGCGGGGGTCAGGCACGAGTACATCCGATTGTACTGGAGGATACTGCATTGTGATGAAACGGCTGGTGGTAGTGGTGCCCTTAGCGGTTCCGACGTAACAGAACATCCACCTTCAATATACTTTTAATGGTTAGGGTTAGCCTGACTTAAGTGGGTCAAAATCTAGTGCGCAGCTTACCTATACAAGTGAATGGGAAGCGGACTCTCTATCACGGGGAACTCTCTGTCACTTTACACCGGAATGATATTTTTTTTTCAGATTTTACAATAAGGGCATTCATACATCTAATAAATGTAACTAGTGTAATTACCATGGTCGTCAATTGTGTTAGAGGCAATTGCTGTGGAACGTTTTGATTCGGCTGCTGGCTGGTAGCCTGATGGTGTGAAACAAGCTCTGTTTTCCAAATGGGGGTGGTATATTTGAATTGTACGCACGTTGGGAGCGGAGCGGCACAACGATAAAATTCTATATAAACCATTAGACGATGTCAATTTACTATAACATGCAGGACGTGAACGAAAAGGTGCTTGGTTTTGTCTCATTTCGCTATCCAATTTTGTTTGGCACGTAACGAATGAAAAACTGCTCTTTTTATATTGCGGTTTGCACAGGTAACGTATTTGGAGATAACTTCTTAAATTTTTAAATGTGTAATCAGATAATAATTTGATTATTAATTGTGTTTATTATTCATCTTTGAGAAGTCACTTAAAAGTGTGTAAATTATAAGAATAAAAAAATTCCGATGAAAAGACATTTTATTGACCGAAAAACAGAAGGGTTTCCAAAGCGGCTGAGGTATCTAAAGAAATGACCAGGGAAAGATATTTGCGTCGTAGAAAGAGGCTGAATGCTTTATCCAGGTGTAAGAAGCTACACAATATATTAATCGTATTTATGCCATGATCAGTCACGTCAGCAACTTACGCGGTTGAAAAAAAAAAAAAACAACAGTTGTCACAAATAACTTGCTTGAGATTCGAAAGACTGCGATGTTGTGGGCGGAGGATCGAGTAAATAAGCACAGTAATGCACTACCACGACGGATGTGCTGCCTCAACATACAGATGTAGCACAACATTCGGTTTTCCCAGCGAACCGTTCAGCCGTCATTTTGGACGGTCGCCAGCATCACCAGACGGTCTATATTTGCAACGACGGCTGGACGGCTTATTATTATTATTTTTTAAAAATATGACGGCTTTAGGCATACTTGGACTCCCTGAAATTTTGTAGGAAATAACAGGTGGTAATTTTGGACGGCCTGCACCCCCTATCCTGGGAAGTACCTGAGTACAACGCAATATTCTTGTTATCAAGAGAATAGAAAGATCATTCACGGAATGTGGCAGCGAGCAGAGGTCCGTTCATCATAGATCCAGTTCTAACCACTATTAAAAACCGTTGTGAACGGTTGGGGTTATGTAGTATAAGAAAAACGGTAAATGTAATGTTGAGGTTACGTGTATCGTGGCCTATTATACTCTCTTGCAATTCTTGACTGATTTTTATTCATCTACAGCAACGAACCAACCAAACATGGAGGAGAATAATGAAGAAAGAGAAGACTGTTGTGACAGTGACGTTAAGGACTTCGACGATATCCTTATTCTGATTGGGGAATTTGGAACTTACCAAAAACTGATATATGTGTTACTTTTGATCGTAAGTATGTTGTCGAGTATGGTGACCGGAGCCATTGTATTCATAGAAGATACGCCCAGCTTCAGGTAATAATAATAATAATAATAATAATAATAATAATAATAATAATTTTGTAAAGTTATTGACTTACGCCTTCATTCATTGTATTTGTAACTTTTGAATATTATCCAAGTATTAGTAACTAAAATTATATTTTAGCTTATTTTAATTGAAAACAAGGCTCTATGGGAAGGTTAGAGGCTATCGGATCAAGTAGCTTTATTCAAAGCGGATGAATTAAATGTAAAACGTGCATATTAAGACATGGGTTAGGATGAAATAATAACAGGTGTAGATACTGATAAGACGTAGTTGTGATGTTTTTGCTATCGACATTTCAAGGACCATTCCCAGACCCTATCGTGCTAACTGTGGATAGATCTATCTCTGAGGGGATTCTCACAAAATTGCAATCAACTTAAGCTGCCAGGGGTGAATTAATTATTGCAGCTTCAGTAGGCGTGCCAGATACCTAAGTGGCAAGGCTTTACCTGAAAGCTATTTTGCGAGAAACCCCTCGGAGATAGAGCGGTCCTGTAGATCGATCTAGGTATGGGAACCCAGTTTTGAGTAAGGTTCAGAAAATATGTATTAACATCGAATTGATACAATAAATGATGTTCCTGTAAACAAACAGTCAGTTAAACGGTTGATACTGACATGTGTCAAAGTAAACGTTGGGAACAAGATAAACTGTGCTTACCAAAGCAAACAGACAAAACGATAAAATCATTACAAATAAAAAAAGCAACGGTTTCTTACTACCATCTGTGATGTGACGAGTTAAAACCATTTTTGTCTGTCGAATTGTTTAATTAGGATGCTGATCTCTCACAATAGTAACACAGCCAAACTGCATTGTTGTATTGTATTCGGAAATCTTATATAAAATACAGCTGCTTTACACGACCAAAACAAAGATAAAAGATGTTTTGACAAGCCATTTACTTTTGCTTAACGTAAATTATTATTGTCATTATTGTGCCATAACAATTATGGCAGTTTGAATTTAGATGGTTTAGATTTCCTACCTTGAATGGAAGGTTGCAAAAGCAGCTCTGAGATAACATAGCTACACTAATCGAGCGAGGAATTTCCAAAAATTTGGAGCAATGGTTAATTTACTGATCTTTGCATTTTGAAATCATTTATTCTGCGATGATTCTGCAGTTATGTCCCATTTTCTCGCCAAATATTCAGTTGATAATTTGAGCTAACAAAAATGGCTTATGCGACCATAGACAGGAGCAAGTCCTTACCTATATGGTACATGAACATGCTATTTTATTACACGAAATATTTCCTAGGGATGATTCATCTCAAATAGGGGTTGGGAATTTATTCGAGGTATCAGGCATATTGCTTGTAATAATACTCGGCCTAGGTATCAAAGTCATACAATTAATATTCAGAATGACACGCAAATGATATAATGCTTAATATACCATATTGATTATAAAATGCCAAAACAACAACAACAAAAAATTAGCCGAAGGAACTAAGTATCGCTTATTATCACAGATTCAACAGCATTCCATGTTTATATTTCGGAAATTGTTGTATCTATATATTATTTTGCTATTTTATGATGATTTGTACCTGTAAACTGTCAAAACATTGGCATTGTATGACCAATATAATAACAGATGAAACCATTACTTTGGATATATTCTATCCCATTGCCCGTATTTATGGTTTTTAACGCACAAGACGCTTGAAAGCACATTTTTACATACTACACATTTTTACTTAAAAAATATGCTAATGCATATTTCTATATTGCGTTCAAACCATTTGATCACAGTGCAGATCTAGAGTAAGTTTGATTCAATTTGAGCATGACTTGACTTCTGAAATGTGTGTAGGGACAGTACATTGATCTTTGCGAGCACACTTTAGTGTAAAAGAGTGTTTGAACAGATAGATTTATAACATTTTTATGACTATATCATATGAATTTAGTTTATTGCTATTTTGATAAAAAGTGTCAATACATTGAAATACTGCGTTGAACACAAACATATATTATTATTTTTTTAGTCCTGTTTTTATAAGACACGATTATTCACGCTTTTACGATGAGTCATTTAAAATGATCTTTTCAAGATGTAAGCTTCCCGATCTTCCAAATGACACCTTCGAAATCCAGGGAAAATGGCACCAAACTATGGTCGACATTTCGTTTATGAATGTCACTGATGTAGAATGTACCATTCTTCCAAATATTAGTCACCAGAGGAATGTCAGCCAAGACAGGCCAGAAGCGGAGAGATGTGCAGAATGGGTGTTTGATACCAGCGATGAAACATATTCATATCCAATGCAGGTAGTTTTTTTTAGATACCGATTCTTCAATTGTATGTGTTTTTATCGTTCCTTTGCAAGCTCAAGTGAAACCATAGATATGGTATTTAACGTGAAACCTTTCCCAAAGTTAATAAGTATTTAACTGAACCATCATTTTTGGTTTTTTGAGATTTTCATGAAATTCAACTTTAGAACTAGTTAGCACCCGCGACAAAACGATACGCGATGACAGTGTGGACAGCGCCATATGGAATACAATCTGTTATGGTTTAATTTGTTTTCACTGTTTTCTATTTAGTTCAGTCTTGTTTGTGATGACTCGACAAAGCTGACAAATTCCTACATTTTTAACTGGTTAGGGTACTTGGTTGGAGGACCATTATTTGGTATACTGGCAGACGTGTGAGTATTACGAATTAATTCAAGTATATTTTGGATGAACATGTATTACATCGCCATTTGTACTGAGTGTTTTGCATTTTTAAATAATAATAATAATAATAATTATAATTATAAAAATACGTTTTGAACTGTACTATAACGTGCACATAGAAGGGACGTTATCATATCACTCACTCTGAATCGTTTAAACTGGGCTTTTTCTCCCCATTAATCCGCTTTATAAGAGTTAACAAATGATCTTCATATATGAAACAATGCTGTAATTAGTAACAGTTATATATATCATTAAACAATATTCCTTTAATACGCCGACAAGATATAGAAACCCAGCGGGCAAATTATGTTGTTTTAACGTTGAAACAATGTGGAACCATAACGTTGATAATACGTTGGATAAACATTGGATTTGAAAGTTGACTCAACGTCAGATAACAGCATTGTATCAACCCCAGTTGTTAGACAACATTCTTGCATGAAAAGACATTAAAATGACATGAAATGTTTTTATTTTTGGTACAAAACACAGGCATACAATTATAACGTACACTGTAAAAACATCCAAGTGCCTGCTTTGTCTGATTTTTTCAACGCATTTAGCTCCTAAGCATGTTTTGCACCTAAGCATGGAACACCCTAAAAGCATGTTTTCACACGGATGGATAAAAATACACAGAAAAGACATTGGAAAATGTGAAATCATTCCTAGCCAGGATTTTCCCGCCAAATTCATACATGTAACGAAATTTACGAAGTGTTAATAGTATTCCCTCCGACTTACCGACCCTTAATTTTCCTTTTCAGATTGTCGTCATAACTCATAGTTTTCAATTGTCCTCAGCTACGTTCAACAAGAAGCGATTCTTGGACTTAACATGCGTTCAATTGTTTTGTTTTAATATTGTATGTCTGGTCATTGTCATGTTACGTCACATAACCTCACTTGGCGTTTGAAAATCGGTTGGTATTAACATTAAGGCCAAACTTTTTGTGGACCATGCCCTTAAGAAAGACTACTACCGGATTCAATAACGGTATGTCAAATAAATTTCTGTCACTCAGGTTGCTTCACGAGTCTCCTAGATGGTTGCTTACTAAAGGACGCCATTCAGAAGCTGAGAAAATTTTAAGACGTACAGCGAGAATTAACAAGACTACCCTTCCCAATCGTCTGGTGGAAAAAGTTGAAATCAACGAGCCCCCAACTTCAAGTGCTCGGGCTTTACTGCGTGCGCCAAGACTGATGGTTAAAATGCTGCTTCTGTACATCAACTGGTGTGTGTGACATGTTTGGCTAAATTACTAATTACATGTACATTTCATAAACGCATTTGAAATGTATATATATGTACATCAAAACCAAATTGATGTGAATACAAATAGCTTTGTGAATGATTGGTCTGAAAAATACTGTACAATAAGGAAACACGTTACAACTGTTGTATTAAGGACACTATTAAGGACATAAAGGACACACCTATCTACTTGTGTCCTTTTTTCCTCGGCAAATTGCCACTGTATCATTGTCTTGCTTCTCGTACTCGTAAAGCCTTGCCCGACTCCAGCCCCAAATAAAAAAGAAATAATATTGTATGTGCTATTGTTCTTTTGTAGGTTTGTCTTAAATATGACGTATTTTGGAATAAATCTTCACGCAGGGAACATGTCTGGAAACCTCTACCTTAACTTCTTTCTCCTCTGTATAGTCGAGTTACCTGCATATGCATTATGTTTCACTATCGACAGATTTGGAAGGAAGAGGATATACATTATATGTATGGTAGTGGGCGGCCTGGCATGTCTCTCGTCTCTCCTTGTGCAGTTGTACGCAAATAACGGTAATAACAATTATAAAAATTATAGTTATAATAATAATAAATTATCATTATTATTACAAGTAGTAATAATATTAAAAGTTGTAGTATTTATATTATAAATGTTATTTTGATTACATATACTGGCTTTAATGACCTCAAAACAACATTTGTAATACTGTATTTTTTGTTTTTCTTAATGGCATAAGTTCTGTCAATCCAGACTTTACAGTCATCTAAGCGCCTTGTTCAATATAGTAAATGACTAACTTAATCGAACAGGTGGACTTTTAAAAATGTAATCTTTAAAAATGTAATCAAGAAGTTCTAATATTTTAATGTAAAAGTTGTGCACTTTTGTCACTCTGAACATAGAAAGCGTACCTGTAGCTCAAATATGTAAAACAGTTTTAAGTTTTGGTTTATTCTATCGAATGTAAATGTGTCTGTTACGCATGCATATTGTCTTTCAGAACTAGAATCTACCAATTTTATAAAGATCACACTGTCTACAGTCGGGAAGTTTGGCATCGCTGCAAGCTATAACATCATATTTATTTGGGGTGTTGAAATATTCCCCACGGTCCTCCGGAACTTCAGCCTCGGTCTGGCTTTAGTGTCTGCCAGTCTTGGGACCATGCTATCTCCTGTCATCGTGGTGAGCTGAAAATAACACTTATAAGTCGATTCAAGACGCCTTGCATGTTGTGTTTATTTTTCAGTTTGTTTAAGAGATTTTTTCTTTGTTTGCATTTTTCACTCGTTCATCATTATAACTAAAAAAATGGATCAGAGAGCGTTGACCTTTGATAAGGGCTGCCCTGATGATTTGTGGTAGATTCATTGCACAACTGGTCAATGCGATTGACCCTATCCCGCAAAGGTGAAGAACCTTAAAACAGTTCTTGCATTCAGATGTTGAACTCCATCACATATAGTCACAAAAATGAAGTAACTTAAAAGGTAAAAGATTTCTGACTTATCCCTAAAAATTCATCAAGACCCATCCAGGCTAATGACAAACAAACACACAAACAAAGAAACATACAAACGGAGGTAAATTAATAACCTCCTTGACTGAAGTAATTATAATTTCTGCTACATGTATCTACATCTTCACTTCCATTTGTTTAATTCAGAGAGAAATTCAAGTGGAGAGTATTGGCAAGGATACCTTGCCGCTTGTGATATTTGGAGCCGCGGCCATATTTGCAACAATGTGCACCATCCCTTTGCCGGAGACAGCAAACAGAGATCTACCCGAAACCGTAGAAGACGCAAACAGTTTCAGGTAGTAAGTCATTTTGCGCTGCTATCTGCATGTACATGTATAATCTTATAGATAAAATATATGCCTTTATCTTAAAGGGATAATGACTCTTCGTATGAGATCTATATTTCACAATAAAAACATTGTGAATAACTCATTGAAATATAATATATTCTGTTTTACGACAGCAGTTTTAGCTATTATTCTGATATCTGAGCTTGTCTTCAGATCACGTGACCTCCATTAATGTCTATACTCTGTTATAATCTCTTAAGAGATTTTAACAAAAAAAAAAAAAAAAACTTTTTAGAACAGAACCAGGGACTAACTTTGAATGTAAAAATGGATTCATTAACCATTGGTAAGCATGGGAGAGGATGGGAAAATTGTTGTTTACTCCAAGAAAATTCATTTTTTGGCCAAAACGAAGAGTTATTATCCCTTCAAGATGAAATATGTACAAAACCCCGGCGTCAATACTCATGGACAAAGCACTCTGCATTGGAGACGAAGGTAAGTGTGGGGAGGGGTGAAATACTTCAAATACTATGTATTTATTTACCTAAATTTCTCTTTTCCATTTTGTAGCCCCCGCCAACGCAGTTCCACTGCCTATCAAAACGGGAATCAGTCACAGGTTCAAAGCATTATTATGGAGAATACTGCCTTGTAATGAAAGGGCTGTCGATAGACACGAACAAGAAGAATTGTAGTTCAGTGCTACAAAAAAGGCGATTCTTCTTTTATCCACCCAGTAAGTGCTACTAGTGTGATGACAACGACCATCAATTGCGTTAGAGAATCTTGGATTTGGACCGTCTTGAATGACGTGCCATCTAGGGACCTTATTAGCACAAAGGCCTTCTTGGGTCTATATTTAATATTGACGCGACGCAGGTTCAAAATGCATATTTGGAAAACAGTTATAGAAGAAAAAGTATTTGTTTTTATCCAAATTCATGAAATAAAAGTTATACAATACGATATTTGATAAATCCTCAATTACCACGAACAGTCGTCACAATATTTTTATATCCACTGAAATCGACACGAAATATTGACTTTCTTTACTTTTAGACACTGTGTAGAGCTCAATCAACACAAAATATAGAAGTTTTGATGATTAAGACATAAACATGAAGTTTTTATATGCAGCGTTTAAAGAATCTACAACGAGATGACTTCCAAGTTCAATAAAAAGATAAATGTATATACCATCAATTGAAATGTTTGTACTATGCATTTCCCCAATATATTTTAATTTTTCCACTTCTTAGTTAGTCCGTAAGCCAAGTATACTCTCTTCTTATTTTTTAGGGATGGAGTGGATTGGGGGGGGGGGGGGGAAGGGGGGGGGCAGGGATACCTCCGGTACTAAAGGGAAGAACTAGTTGTCCTTTTTGCCCCCTTTATGCCACAGTTTTATGTTTATTTATTAGATTATATGCAAAGCTATGATTTTAGATCTGGTCGCACTCTTCATATATGCAATAAATGGGCTGATACTGCCGATCGTACAAATACTGTTCAGTGTGAAACGTTGGGTATTTATAGTGCGTCTCATCTTGGAAGCGATAGCTGGCTACCGGATTGCGTAGGACAACGTGAATTCGAGCACCGAGTGATAATTGGTGTCTTCCACGTGTTTAGTTTTGGACTTCCCGAAGAGGTATAATTATCATGTAAAGAGTAATATTGATGCATCCTAACCCTCTCTAAATACCTAGTGATTTGCTTCCCCTCCAGATTAAATCTGCAATCTTCCATTGACTTATATCTGATATTATTTTGAACCTCTGTTCAAGTACTATACCTGATAATTGTATATGTAGAACTATGTAAAATAATGTAAAGTGATTTAATTTAGCAATCAAGCAATTAGCAGAGTTTGTATTTGGGGGGGGGGGANAATAAAATGACATTTTCAACCTACATCTATTTGATTATGTTGTTTTGTGTATGATAACAAATTTTGACAGCAAACTAGCCTCGGCGACTCCTCTCAATTCATGCACTCATAAATACATTTACTTATAAAAAATCTTTCATTTAATGGGCTATTTAAATAAAAAAGGTACAAAGTACAATGTTTTCACACGGATGAATAAAAATACACAGAAAAGACATTGGAAAATGTGAAATCATTCCTAGCCAGGATTTTCCCGCCAAATTCATACATGTAACGAAATTTACGAAGTGTTAATAGTATTCCCTCCGACTTACCGACCCTTAATTTTCCTTTTCAGATTGTCGTCATAACTCATAGTTTTTAATTGTCCTCAGCTACGTTCAACAAGAAGCGATTCTTGGACTTAACATGCGTTCAATTGTTTTGTTTTAATATTGTATGTCTAGTCATTGTCATGTTACGTCACATAACCTCACTTGGCGTTTGAAAATCGGTTGGTATTAACATTAAGGCCAAACTTTTTGTGGACCATGCCCTTAAGAAAGACTACTACCGGATTCAATGTCGGTATGTCAAATATATTTCTGTCACTCAGGTTGCTTCACGAGTCTCCTAGATGGTTGCTTACTAAAGGACGCCATTCAGAAGCTGAGAAAATTTTAAGACGTACAGCGAGAATTAACAAGACTACCCTTCCCAATCGTCTGGTGGAAAAAGTTGAAATCAACGAGCCCCCAACTTCAAGTGCTCGGGCTTTACTGCGTGCGCCAAGACTGATGGTTAAAATGCTGCTTCTGTACATCAACTGGTGTGTGTGACATGTTTGGCTAAATTACTTATTACATGTACATTTCATAAACGCATTTTTAAATGTATATATATGTACATCAAAACCAAATTGATGTGAATACAAATAGTTTTGTGAATGATTGGTCTGAAAAATACTGTACAATAAGGAAACATGTTACAACTGTTGTATTAAGGACACTATTAAGGACATATAGGACACTCCTATCTACCTGTGTCCTTTTTTCCTCGGCAAATTGCCACTGTATCATTGTCTTGCTTCTCGTACTCGTAAAGCCTTGCCCGACTCCAGCCCCAAATAAAAAAAGAAATAATATTGTATGTGCTATTGTTAAGATACCCATTTTTTTTCTTTTGTAGGTTTGTCTTAAATATGACGTATTTTGGAATAAATCTTCACGCAGGGAACATGTCTGGAAACCTCTACTTTAACTTCTTTCTCCTCTGTATAGTGGAGTTACCTGCATATGCATTATGTTTCACTATCGACAGATTTGGAAGGAAGAGGATATACATTATATGTATGGTAGTGGGCGGCCTGGCATGTCTCTCGTCTCTCCTTGTACAGTTGTACGCAAATAACGGTAATAACAATTATAAAAATTATAGTTATAATAATAATAAATTATCATTATTATTACAAGTAGTAATAATATTAAAAGTTGTAGCATTTATATTATAAATGTTATTTTGATTACATATACTGGCTTTAATGACCTCAAAACAATATTTGTAATACTGTATTTTTTGTTTTTCTTAATGGCATAAGTTCTGTCAATCCAGACTTTACAGTCATCTAAGCGCCTTGTTCAATATAGTAAATGACTAACTAAATCGAACAGCTGGACTTTTAAAAATGTAATCTCTAAAAATAAAATCAAGAAGTTCTAATATTTTAATGTAAAAGTTGTGCACTTTTGTCACTCTGAACATAGAAAGCGTACCTGTAGCTCAAATATGTAAAATAGTTTTAAGTTTTGGTTTATTCTATCGAATGTAAATGTGCCTGTTACGCATGCATATTGTCTTTCAGAACTAGAATCTACCAATTTTATAAAGATCACACTGTCTACAGTCGGGAAGTTTGGCATCGCTGCAAGCTATAACATCATATTTATTTGGGGTGTTGAAATATTCCCCACGGTCCTCCGGAACTTCAGCCTCGGTCTGGCTTTAGTGTCTGCCAGTCTTGGGACCATGCTATCTCCTGTCATCGTGGTGAGCTGAAAATAACACTTATAAGTCGATTCAAGACGCCTTGCATGTTGTGTTTATTTTTCAGTTTGTTTAAGAGCTTTTTTCTTTGTTTGCATTTTTCACTCGTTCATCATTATAACTAAAAAAAATGGATCAGAGAGCGTTGCCCTGATGATTTGTGGTAGATTCATTGCACAACTGGTCAATGCGATTGACCCTATCCCGCAAAGGTGAAGAACCTTAAAACAGTTCTTGCATTCAGATGTTGAACTCCATCACATATAGTCACAAAAATGAAGTAACTTAAAAGGTAAAAGATTTCTGACTTATCCCTAAAATTTCATCAAGACCCATCCAGGCTAATGACAAACAAACACACAAACAAACAAAGAAACATACGAACGGAGGTAAATAAATAACCTCCTTGACTGAAGTAATTATAATTTCTGCTACATGTATCTACATCTTCACTTCTATTTGTTTAATTCAGAGAGAAATTCAAGTGGAGAGTATTGGCAAGGATACCTTGCCGCTTGTGATATTTGGAGCCGCGGCCATATTTGCAACAATGTGTACCATCCCTTTGCCGGAGACAGCAAACAGAGATCTACCCGAAACCGTAGAAGACGCAAACAGTTTCAGGTAGTAAGTCATTTTGCGCTGCTATCTGCATGTACATGTATAATCTTATAGATAAAATATATGCCTTTATCTTAAAGGGATAATAACTCTTCGTATGAGATCTATATTTCACAATAAAAACATTGTGAATAACTCATTGAAATATAATATATTCTGTTTTACGACAAAAACAGCAGTTATAGCTATTATTCTGATATCTGAGCTTGTCTTCAGATCACGTGACCTCCATTAATGTCTATACTCTGTTATAATCTCTTAAGAGATTTTAACAAAAAAAAAATTTTTTTTTAGAAAAGAACCAGGGACTAACTTTGAATGTAAAAATGGATTCATTAACCATTGGTAAGCATGGGAGAGGATGGGAAAAATTGTTGTTTACTCCAAGAAAATTCATTTTTTGGCCGAAACGAAGAGTTATTATCCCTTCAAGATGAAATATGTACAAAACCCCGGCGTCAATACTCATGGACAAAGCACTCTGCATTGGAGACGAAGGTAAGTGTGGGGAGGGGTGAAATACCTCAAATACTATGTATTTATTTACCTAAATTTCTCTTTTCCATTTTGTAGCCCCCGCCAACGCAGTTCCACTGCCTATCAAAACGGGAATCAGTCACAGGTTCATAGCATTATTATGGAGAATACTGCCTTGTAATGAAAGGGCTGTCGATAGACTCGGACAAGAAGAATTGTAGTTCAGTGCTACAAAAAAGGCGATTCTTCTTTTATCCACCCAGTAAGTGCTACTAGTGTGATGACAACGACCATCAATTGCGTTAGAGAATCTTGGATTTGGACCGTCTTGAATGACTTGCCATCTAGGGACCTTATTAGCACAAAGGCCTTCTTGGGTCTATATTTAATATTGACGGGACGCAGGTTCAAAATGCATATTTGGAAAACAGTTATAGAAGAAAAAGTATTTGTTTTTATCAAAATTCATGAAATAAAAGTTATACAATACGATATTTGATAAATCCTCAATTACCACGAACAGTCGTCACAATATTTTTATATCCACTGAAATCGACACGAAATATTGACTTTCTTTACTTTTAGACACTGTGTAGAGCTCAATCAACACAAAGTATAGAAGTTTTGATGATTAAGACATGAACATGAAGTTTTTATATGCAGCGTTTAAAGAATCTACAGCTAATTTCACGAGATGACTTCCAAGTTCAATAAAAAGATAAATGTATATACCATCAATTGAAATGTTTGTATTATGCATTTCCCCAATATATTTAATTTTTCCACTTCTTAGTTAGTCCGTAAGCCAAGTATACTCTCTTCTTATTTTTTAGGGATGGAGTGGATTGGGGGAGGGGATACCTCCGGTACTAAAGGGAAGAACTAGTTGTCCTTTG